TGCCTGGTAATGCCCATATATCAAGTTTATTGCTGCCTGAGAGAAAATAATCATCAGACATACCGATTCACAAAGGGAACTGCTGTGATGTTGAGAATGGATCTGGTGGAAAGCCAGAATTTGAGATTTGTTTCACTGATACTAGTAAAAATCCGACATACACTGAACTTGTGGAAATCACTGCTATTGAGCTGAGTTGGTCTTGGCTCTTCTCTTGGAAGTTGACAAACTCTCTTGCATTAAGAGTATAGACCATGGTAAGGGCTTGAACTAGGGGTTTGTACATCAAAATCTGTGAGGCCCCCAAGCAAATGAATATAAAAAGATGTCTGTTAAACGTGAGATGAATGTCAGTCAGTCACCTCGGAACCCTTAGAAAGGAAAGGATACATACTTTCTCAGGTGAAGTTGCATTTAGCAGTAGGTTTAAGAGGATGTTTGTATGAGGCCTTTGTCAATAGTCTGTCTATATACCAATGGAGATTATATATTAAAATACCTCCCGCTACTCCCTTTGAGTCATGAGAGGTACAGGATGGTTGCTTCCTGCTGCATCTTGATCGAATACGATATTCGGGATGCGCAAGCTGAATTGATACTTAAGCTATGGACCCAGGTTGCCCAATCTTCCAAAAGACATTCAGTTCTTTGCAACCATCTGTTTTGATAGCTCCGAGGCTAGACTTAGTGGGGACTGAATGTTTTGGGAACTGTAATGACTCAATGATGATCAATGAGCCCTTCAGGTCATGTACAAAATTTTCCAATCTAACCGCCCATTCAAGGTGTAGCTTGGACCGAATTTCTATTAAGCAGATGCCATATCCAATGAATCAATATGCAGATATAATCTTTTAGCTTGATAAGACTTGGTGATGGTTGAGAGTTTGTGAATCCTACGAAACTTCAAGGACTCCTTCAACGAGTCCTTGACAATCGATTCGACACCGTTAAAACCTGTAGAAACAACAAAAAATAGATACACTACCGCTGTGGCAGTATGGAGTTTCCAAGGCCGAATAAAACCTACCCTGGCAACAATGATTGGAGGGACGATGACTGATACTGGGTTTTAGATTTGTATCGTGGCCAGGGCTTATCCTAACTGACTACCGGTTGCGCTTGACATTTGTTTACCGATGGCCCTTTTCTGTGCCAGTAGCTTTGCTACAGTTCAATCGTTTCTTAATACGGCGAAATAAGCACTGAAGGGCACCTTCGAGGGATTACCGCACCCAGGTAGAATATTCTCCGAGACCGTAATAGCTGCTCAAGTGTTCTCTTGTCCCTCTGTCCTCAAAACATCTCCACGGTTGCAGAAGATGAACATCTATCGTTTGATATGGGAAGGTCAATAATCGCAAGAAAGAAGGCTGATGACGATGGTCAGATCATGCATATCCTCGGACCTCGGATCATATAGTGGTCACGATACCTGCATCGTTGTGATGGCATTGGTTGTTTGGATTTGTACCTTGGCCTCACGAAATATTGCCTCCGAACACGTTTCACAACGCAATTTCATCAAGAACCTTCGTATGAAGATGGCAATTTATGCATAGTGCTTTCGAACCCCATCGTGTTTGAGAACGGTATGCCGTAGCTATTCTGATTTGATCGCGGAGATGGAAAGGAAACCCCCTTTCCTCCGATGGACCTTTATTTCTAGTTTCTAGCCATTAACGTACTGATATTCATGTACGTCTCGCGTCTATTTTCTGGATAGAACGAGGGCCTACTTCTTTGTCATAAAGCTGAAGTGTGACAAACCCTTATAGGGGAGCTGAACTCCTGTTATGAAATGTTATAAGACTTGCGTGAAACTTTTCTGAGTACGGTGATCCCTTGATAGGTATTTGTACTCTAATCGCGTCATGAACCTTTTTCGCGGCCTCCCACAAACCTCTTTATGTGCAAACTATTAATTCAATCCGCCGGCTATCCCATATAGAGACGAAAGATGCGGCCTTCAATTCGATCCAAAACTCCCATGCACCCGCTCATCCAACGTTCTGAGAGATGTAAGACGATTGGCCACAGGATTTACCGCAAGTGGTATCGAATGAGCAGGTGGGTCACTTTAGGAGGATACAAGGACCCAATATACCGGTAACAGCTTTCCAGCCGCAGCGGGTGGCATTTTGGGAAGGGCGGACCAAGATCAAGTTCGACGACGGTTCCCATATCAACTCGTCTGCGCACGGCTTTATCTCTTATTCTCGTTCAGAGACCTGTCCGTCCTGACTCTCAACCGGGGACCCACTTGGTTACTGGTACTTCGCAATGACCCATTGATTCATTCCCCAGATTCCCTTCCCTACTCCATCGCACATCCAAGCCAACCCACCCGCCAATTCATTGTTCGCCTAACGCAGCCTCTAGACACATAGCCAACTGTTTGTAACATTGACGTCTACTTTCGTCTACCCTAACAAGCATTATGAACTCCTTTCTTTGTTTATGTGTATGATTAGCTGCCAGTATCAACTTACTCGACCCTGTAGTGAAAAGCCAGTTTCGCGAACGTACTGCACACGGCAGCCAGTCAACGGGAACTATGAGAATTGGGGATGGGGGTAAGTCGAAAGTCCAGAAAGCTGGCTTCTCAAGGGCTTGTGGTTCTACCTTCAGAAAACCAAAGCAAATGCTCGTAAACCCTTACAATTCCGGGTATACCAGCTTAGGTGCTCAATCCCTATCAACCCTGCATTTTGAATGTAACCGCGGAAGCTCTTTTTCAAGAATTGAACGTTGCTCCCTGACAGCATCGTACCTGATATTACCCCCATTTGCTCCTTTCACCCCGCACCACGATGAACATTCCCTGTTGAATTCCCAACGCGTTTCTTGCCTCCAGGTATTTCCCATCAGAAGTTTCTCGATCTCGAAACTTTTAAAAGGGGGGTGAAGCTATTCATGGTCTCTTCTCATGAGCCCTAAATTCTGTTCCACACGGACTACAGTTTTTGACTGAACAGTGCGCCGCCGCAGGAAAGATTTTTTTGTCAATGAATCTTTCGGGGAACATTTTGCTGGCGGGTGCAGAACTACGATGCCCCCGGGCTCCACGGCAAAGAGTTTCTATATCTCTGCTGTGAAATTGAGATCACGCAGCGACGGAAACCTGGATAATCTAGAGGAGAACACGCGATATCGAGCGCATGTTGAATAGATCCGAACCTGATTTCGATCTGGCCATCCTATGTGCGTGTTGTTTATGGATTTAGAGACTTGATTCAACTGTGACACTAGTCCACCGTGGTCGATGAAACTATATATAAATCGGTAAATTCTACGTTTTTTTTGGTAGACCTCGGGGAAGCCTGCAACCTGCGATCGCAGGTAGTGATACGTTTACATTGGAATGACGCCACAAATCGCGACTGGATTATCAAAATATGTAAATAGCATGGGAATTTCGGTGTGGCTATGTCCCGCTGCCGATTGATGTCACCTGTCGTGACATAGTGTGACTGTCACCAATACCGCCGTTTTTTCACTCCATTCGCTCCATCGGTTGAGAGGAAACCCACAACTCAGAATGCTCACCATTGACCTTTAATCGATTGCGAGCCAGAATATACAATCGAATCTTTCAACGTCTTTCTCTGTTGTTCACTGGTACCTGGTAAAACTCCGTTACTGCTCGAGGAGTCAAGACATAAGAGCACAATGCTGGGGCGTCCTTGCATGACTTTTCATTATGGCGGATGTATAACGACTATAAAGAATGCTTACGGAAACATATGACTGCAGGAGATCCAAGGAATGGAGGACAGAGATATGAGCCTGTGTTCGGTAAGTCATTCGCTCGTTCCAATTCAGTGCCAAAGCTTTCATTTTTTAGGTGCAAAACTGCGTTATGCAGTAAGACCACAGAGAGTACTACTTGTCTCGGTACGTACTCCTTCTAGACTCGTCTGATGCCTGGCTGACCTTTGAATTTGATGTTCGAAAAAGATATTAAGATGAACTTGGGAAACGGAAAGAGGCTCCAGACTTCATCATTTTTCGCCACCCGTGGGGGGTTTTGGCATCGTTCTGGGATGTACCTCGACGGATTGGCAAGCACACAGGCCGAGAGAGGCAGTCACGGACGTTAACCCATTCGAGCATCTGTGCGTGATAAGCCTTCTGTTATTATAATCGAAAATCTGACGTTTACCCCTCGAACTCAGTACTTGAACTTCGTCGCTGGTGTTCCAAATGGAGCATCGTGGTATGGGTATGGATAAGCGATGCGATAAGTAGTGCAAAGGAGCCCTTGAAGGTGTGTTCTCTCCTGCTCATTGCACAAGATACCTGTTTATCTTATTGCTAGGATGCCTCCAATGTTCGTGCGCGAGTTCGAAGAGACATTCGATTGTTCACGACCAAGGCTCTATCGCTGCTGACTGACGGGATTTGGAACGTGATCGCTACCCGTTTTTGGGTTTCTCAACTCCAGAATTTACATGCCCTGCCTTGGTTCGTCGCACTTCTTTCACCCCACTGTTTCAACTTTTACGCCGTGAAACATGTGTCTCGATAGTATTCGAAGCTTACCCCTAGGCTCATAAACAACCTCGGTTTCAACGCGAAGTCTATGATAAGACGAAAGCTACTGGTGGCTGGTGTCACTTTCTCGTTTCGGACTTTACCTCAATGCAAAGGCCAACTCCGTATCAATCATGACACTGCTGGGTAACCGGAAAGCTGTCGAGCTCCGCGAAGGTTGACTATGTAGCGTTTTATCTGTTTGGCAACTTATCCTCGGGGAAAAGTATTGTCGAATCTCGTGGGCTGTTTGCCTCCTTTCTCAGTCTGTTGTTGAGCGTTTGTTGATAGTCCTTTCATTTTTTGCTTCGTCGGCAAGCGAACGACGGCTCGTTGTTTGTCTACGAGAACATTCATCGCAGGGTCTCTATATGCCCTTTCACGTATCTCCTCTTGCATCCGTCGCCGACGTTTTTCTGGTTATTGGAAGACGTCATCAAGCCCTGGCGGTATTTGAGAGTGATGGTTCGATGGCGTAGTTGGTTATCGCATCTGTCTAACATGACGAAGAAATAAAGCTCCTACACAGAAGGTCCCCAGTTCGAGCCTGGGTCGAATCACTTTTTTTTTTTTGCAAGGTAGCAATAATCTTTCTTTCCTTTATAATATCGCTGTTTGCCCGCAGGATACCTGCCATGTGCTGCCTACTCCTGCTTTGTTATTCCCGAGATTCCGGCCTCAGTGCCTTGCGAGAAGACATCTTGTCTAGAGGAAGTTCTCGTGTGGTTCGTCAGGACATGGGTCTTTTCTTCCACGAGGAGAATCGATGAGCCGGCAGGACCAAGTATTTTTACTCAGACAGATTTGCCTCGCATTTGGGTTCCCTGGGAATTAAGGTCCGGAGCAAGGTCCATATTTTTTCTTGGTTCATCGTGCAGTGACGATGAGGTATTGCCCTGTAAGTCATTCCAACAGGTTTACCGGCTAGTCACTAAGATTTTGCGTTCCTAGGCTTAAATCTGGGGAGAGAATAAGGGAATCGGATTAGACAAGTGGAATTTCAAAAACCCGAAGGAGGAGTGTATCAGAGTCAAAGTTGTCGGTGCGCGTTGATCGGTGAATCAGAATAGCTCGCGGTGCGATTTTGCTCGTCTAAAGGAGATCATTTGGGTTTTGATTCAGACCCTCAACCCCCTTTTCAACTTTCTTTCATTGACATGTTTCACAGCTATAAAAATACCTGTTTTGCATGTTGCACCCTGCGTGTGTTCGCCGAACTTAAACTTGCACCCCAGATGAATGGATAATGATGTGAGCCGGTTCAACGATCCATTTTCATTCGCTTAGGAAGAGATACTCCTGAGCTTGAGTCGTTGGTTGACTAAGGGCATTTTCATTATTGCTGAACTTTCGCAATTGCAAACCTAGCTAACGGGATTTCTGCCTTCAGCCTCCCTATAGACGTAAGTCCAACCCCACATTCTAGTTGATTAACTTCCCCCGACCCTCATCGTCATCAAACTCATGTCTGCCACCCCGAGTTCTGTTCGACGATATGTATCTAGCGTGTCATTCTTGTCGCCTTTGTCCACACGTTTCTGAAGGTCTGTCCTCGTCTCCAAGTAAGGCAGGACGGTGACCTGACCTACACCTGCGGTCAAAGAATATTGGACACGGTAATTTAAACTTCTGGTCAACTTTGAACCTTAGGGCTATATTCGGTGCCCTGCATGTTCGTCGCGGAATTATCGGAGTCTAGAATCTGGCCGATACAAGTCCAGGCTCTTCTCCATTTCATTTCGTCTAGACCTAGAGTGTCATAACAGTCCAGTGGGCACACGGTATGTCAGTATGTATTAAACCGTTTCCGTCATTAAATCAAGCTTCTCCGTTAATGCCAAAGACTTCGTAGCTTTGTCTGCGAGAATCATTCAAACACGTTACACCTTGACCTCTGATACAATAGACATCGTCTTTTCTTTGCCGCTCTTCACCCTTTAATCGCATATTTCGAAATCCCGCGGATTCTATTCTCAACCAGACTTTTCCAACCAGCAAGAAAAGTGTGATGACCTCACGGCGTTCGTCTCCATTAACATGACGCTACAGCCATACCCTCTTTCCCTCTTTCCTTCAACTGAGGCTACGGATTTGCTTCCGGCCTTATGCGGCCGTTCTACGTATGAACTCATGGTGTTCGCGAGCTTCTCGTGATATCATAAGCGACCACAAATTAATCACTACCTGTCAGTACTACCTCTTTTCCCACTCCGTCCATGCGAAGCATTTGCAGTGTGAAGTGTAATGTTCCCGCACTTCGCTAAAGCTCCACAAGGCGTTGCCATCGAAGATCTCAGACCGTCTATAAACAGCCATAAGAGGTGTGATGCTACCCTGAACCGGGCATGAAACGCATATAAACCGTCCTTTCTTTTCTGTACCTCCCCCCATCCTTCGCGGCCGCCACAAACACTGCTATATCATGAAAGTCAGATGCGGCCCACGAATACGTCCTCAAAAGGATCCGCCTTTATCTGTCTCTGTCGACGAACTTTCAGAGTAAACGTCCTCCTTGGTCTCGAATATCCCCGGATTGCGGTTATTGGCAGAGGGGGGGGGAATTGTGCATGGTGAGCCTTTTTCTGGATTTCTTTTCCTTCCTGTTTTGCGGTCGGAATTATCATGCGCGAGCCCTGAAATTTGTTTGTTGCGTTGAATCGCATTCTTTGAGACACTCACGTCGATTCTTTCAGATCTTTCCGCAGGCCTTTTGGTCCCCCTCCCCCTTGACTGTGGTCAGTCAGTCGTTGAACCTTCGCAACCGATCTTTTGAGGCCTTCATTGAAATGGATGATTCGGGGAGCTGTGTCGTGTATAGTAAACAGATGTCGTTGGAATCCGGAATGTATTCTTGAGTGAGGGGTGAACGTTTGGACATTATAATGGACTATTCAATGTTGATTCAATGTATTCAATTTCTTGCGGCGACGTTAGAAGGCAGGAACTGTCAAAGCGGCAACCTGTCGAAAATTCCTTTCATGTTCTGGGAGGTCTTCGATGATAGTCTCAAGTGACACGGGGATCATGAGTTGTGATCGATAAGTATTAGAGCGTCACATTTGCAACGCGTTTTTCTGAATTACAAGTTTTCGGACTTTTCGGCCCACTAAGTCAGCACGTTTTCTCTCATTGGTGCTCGGAGAAGTCCGAAGAATCTTAATCTTGGCGGTTGCAAAATGCTCTATTAGAGCGTATACCTAAGTGGATGTTCCAGAAGCTTGACGTAAAATTAAAAGCAGACCCTACTACTCGCTACCACTGTTTGATATTAAATGAAAGTCACAAGCGTTCAGCTTTCGAGCTCTTTGCGGGCGAAAGAACCAGAATTAGGTTTACTGGATACACGATTCGGAATATTCCCCCAATCCACCATGAAATGAGGCTTTGGCGTAACTGGAACCTTTGAATGCAGCAGATACAGGCAAGCCAATGAAGCTTCTAGCATGTCGAACTTGTTGCTTTCAAGGCATGATTATCCGCTCCTCCGGTCATGCCGCCTGAGGCCTGTCATGACATTACCCAAGTTGGCTCTACACTCAGTGCAGTTTGTTTTGAGTTAATCCTTGAGTCAACCAGCGGGCTGTGTTGAGATTCAGGCTGTGGAAGGAGCAACCCTGTGCCAGTGTCTTCACCACAGAACATTCCATAGTGACTCAAGCTCCAAGTTTTTTACTCACTTATTGTAGAATATTCTAGATACATTGTAGAGATGCAAATAGACATGGGCTCCCTCATTGGTTTGCCCTAATTCAGACCCATCTTACCATTCAGTGAAATTGCAAACCTACCTTAATCCTCATCATCTAATCACTCACATCCAGAAATTCAACAGGCTGCCTTGGCACTTTTTACTACAGTGTTTTGATGTCACCCAAATCAGGGGCAATACAAATGGATAAATTCCGAGCATCGGAGAACCATCTGACGGATGAGTACGCAATCTAATAAGGGGTATAGCTCACTTGAGACATATGCCAGGAGCTCAAACCAGGGCTTGCTGGTACTGAAGCTGGTCGTAGCCCACATGTAGCTGTTGCTGTTGATTGAAAGGAGTATACTTCAGTTGGACAGGAACTGTTTGTGAGTTTTTATGATAGTGAAGTAGTCCACTTCAGTCGCTCCGACCAACCAAACATTGTTCCCTCGAGATTTTCCAATGAGACAGAGAATGATAGTGCCAATGGTATAACTCATTAAGATAAGCCAGTTAAGGAAAGAAAGACCTTCGGCAGCTCTGAGTTCTGAGTAGACAGGCTGTTCCACTTGAGAAGAAGAAAAGGTAAGAAAGGTCAGATGGACTAGGATGAAGATAAACAATGCGTCGACATACAAGAAATGAATAGCAAACGCGAAGCACTGGGAACGTAGGCCGCAATGTCAGCGTATCGGAGGCCTGCATTTGCCAACCACATGATTGTTAAGAAGACCAACACTGGAACTTCAATGACATTCATTGTGAGCCAAGCCTTGCTTCAGAGCAATCCTACAATCAAACTAGATAGCGTAGGAAGTTTGAAAAACAGGGGAAAACACAAAAGGGATAACATGCACATGCAACACGGGCAGACTAAGTGTTGGAAATCGACGCAGAAAGAAGCTCGGGGGATAAAACGGAGGGTGGGAAAGCTCCCTCATTCAATATAGTTACGGTACTTAAATAGGTTATCTAATAACAAATACGGAATAAATACGGACCTTCGGAGCGACCGCAGCAACACCAAAATTCCGGTGGTGGAACCGGGAGATATCTTCAACACTAAGTATTGTTAAAACTGATGTGGCGATGGCCAGTCCTTGAGAGGTGTATACACCAGAGGGGGTGGGGGTGCCATATGTGCAGCAAGACCGAGCGTAACTATACCGAGGAACCACGTGACAACTATCGGAGAAAAGACTAATGTCAGTACGGGGCCCATGAGTCTGTAAGGAGGGCGAGCGATACCTAAAACGGTCATCCTCACGGTTGTGATTATCGTCATTTCCGTTTGCGTCGGAAGATTAAGCGGAAGGGCCAAGAGGATCAAAGAGCCTCACGGCTGGCGCAACGTTGAGAGACAAAAGAAACAGAAGAAACACTCACAGAATATAAGGGAGTGCAACGAGGGCAGTTTGGGGGACTTCTAGATGTCAACTGCCTTGTTCCCTGCAGCGCCCAACCGCTCAATCATTTCACTGAAACCGCTGTCAAATAGTCTTCCGTCATTTCTGTCTTCCCTCGACCAACGGTTATCCGGACAAAACAGAATCGGGAGCATCAAAAGTGAAGTCACTGATTGCAGTTCTACAAGGCTTGAATGACAAACTCGCGATGCGAAAACGGTAAGTAACATACTACGAAGGATCTTCAAGCAATTGATTGCAACATGCCAGAGTTAGTAGTAGCACTTTGACTCTGAGGGCCACCCCGTCCCACCCCGTCACACGACGGGCATGTAACATTTAATCTGTCAAGTTGATTGGTTCTGCCAAGGCGGGTGGATTTAGGTGTTTTGGGATACGATCAAAAAGGCACCTTTGTTGTTTTGTACCTGACCTACAATTTGTCACCGACTGTACGTTC